AAATATTATCCTTAAAGGATTGAGTATTCAAATTTCAAATGATAAAAGTTATTATAGATAAAACAAAATCAAATTATTATCATTTTAATATATCAGATATGTCATAATTGTTTTTGGCGGACCGCTTGAGTGATCATTTTGTTGCTTGAGCGAAGATTCTTAGCTCTCAGTAGTTTGTCATTTTACAGGAGAGACTGCTCGAGCGGTGAAAGTGGTTGCTCGAGCGTAGATTTCATGCTCCTAATATTTTCACTGTAACTCAGCAAAACTTCTGGAACTTCGCATTTACTGCTCGAGCAGTGGAAGTGTCGCTCGAGTGGTCTCTTTGAAATTTTGTTGGTCGCTCGAGCGAAGAAAAGTTTGCTTGAGCGGTTTGTTCGGGACATCTCACTTGAAAATCGGTCTAACTCATTTCTTCCTCACTTTTTCCAATTACTCTCTCTCTCTATCTCCCATTTCAAAACCCTAACACCCCAAACACTTGATTCCTTCAATTTTTATCTTAAATCCACCTTAGATCCTTCAAGATTAGTGAAGAGTTAGTCAAGTCCAAGATATCTACCAATTTTCTTTCTTTTTCGTCGAAGTTTCACGTGGATTCTCATCTTTAGCTTCTATTTTTGAGGTAGGGGTGTATTTAACTTGTTATATCTTTAATTTGGAACTCATATGTGGTAATTTTATTAGATACTCATTATATATATATATATATGTGTGTGTGTGTGTGTGTGTGTGTGTGTGTGGATATATATACATATAGAGACCATTTGTGTTAGTGAAGGGATTGGACAAGAGTGAGAAATGTTTCAAGGTTTTGGAAGGATTAGTGCTTAATATTGATGACTAATGTTGTTGTGATAAACATTAACTTTAATTTCATGAAAGGGAGGAAAATCCCTAAATATTATATAAACCCTAGTTTTAGAAAATTTTCAATAAAAATGGGGTTTTTCTTAATTGATTTCTAAAACATGAAATTGAAGGTAATTGCTTAACTTTGAGATTGAAATGTATGATTTGAAATGTCTTCTATAGACACCTTGTGTTAGTGATTATTGTTACATGAGAAATCTTTATTTTTGGAGAGTAAATTGTTGGGAATTGGAATCATTCTAGGGGAAATGAAAATTTCCAAATTCATGCATCATATGCATTATTAATTTTCTTTTGTGATTCAATTGATGGAACAAATTGTGGGAAGTTGAAAGGGGGTAACTAGTCCATGAGTCCGGAGGTTTTCGAGTTGTATATTGTATTTGGTACCCCCAATTGCCCTGTCTGCGCATACCGTCAGACGAATGTGGAAAAATGTTTTTGAGTGTCCACAAGCTCGCCGTTTCTGGAGTCGGCAAATATGGAAAGGAAAAACATTTTTGGGTGCCCATCGGCCCCATCATTTCTGGAGCCGGCAAATATGGGACTATTTTAAGTATACAAAATCTATATTTATGTATGTATTTTGAAATTCGACTCTTACTTGGAAGATCATAGTGTGAGTGTTTGGGAAGTTGCTATTTTAGTAGGCTATTTTAGTTTTTAACTATTTTAGGAGGCTAAAATTTTTGTATTTGAGAAGATAGTTGGATTTTTTTGTAGTTGGATGTAATGTTTGTGAGAAAAAAAGTGAAATGATTATGAGTTTGATGTAACATTTTGTCTTATTGGCTATTTTAGCCTATTTTGTCTGTTAGTGCTATTTTAGCCAAAAAAACTTCTTCCCATACACCGCCAGTATATTTACTGCCTTGTTTGAACTCAAGAAGTGCTAACTCAATTTTATATTGCTCATTTTATATTCATGCATAAAGGCATTCATACACATACATAATAAAATTTACCAAATGTTACATTGTATGATCATGTGTTTTTCAATTAATGTTATAACTTATTAAGTGCATTACCTATTGAGCTTTTGCTCACCTCAAAACAAACCAATTACAGGAAATGAAGACAAAGTGCCTCCTAAATGAATGTTTTGAGACGAAGAAAACTTTTAGGATGTGAAAGATTGTGTTTGAAATTATATTATGCATATGCTAGGGACAGTTTTTGGGTGACTATGTGTAGACATGTATCTTGATGTAACAAGGATCAAATTTTGAGGAAAGGATGAACAGTTGTTGATTTTGTTGTATCATTTCTTGTTTGTTGAACTATTTTATTTTGGCTGTAAATGTAATGAAATAATGTTGTAAAGTTTGGAAATAGTTCAAAAGAGAAGAAATGCTGTTAATGTTATGTCATTACTATTCTGCTTCGTTTTGTGGTCGATCTTGTACTGGTAATGCCCAGATAAGAAGGGGAACATGGAGGTTCATTTTTTAGGACGTTACAAGATAAGTATTAGCTTGATATATATATAATGTATCATCTTAACTTATGCCTCTTCGCCTCGAAATTTCCATAGATATCAACTTAAGAAAAAACAAAAATTGTAAAAACTTCAGACTTTGGTGTATTTCTCAACCAAAACTTTCTTCTTCATGTAAACTTAAAGCTTATATCAGGTATACAATTAATCTATAACTCTATTACATATTTTTGTTTTTGGAGTTAATATATTTATAGTAATGCTGTAAAAAAAAAAAAAAAACTCCATTAGAATATGTGATATGTTCACTAATTTAGAATAATTAAAATTAATGTATTTACAATGATACTTAATCAAACGCCATTAGAATATATGATTTGTTCAATAAAATTTCGTTAGAGTGAACTTATTTATGTGTAGAATAATTTAATATTTTTTATAGTGGTATTATTTTAACATTTTTTACATTTCATTTTTATTTTGTTTATTCATTGAAGGTGCACTCAAAGAAAGAAATGTTATTCATTTACTTTTAATAAAAAAAACTCTATTCATACAAAGAGTATTACAAGTATGCGAAATTAATTTGAAATTTAGTTTAGGGTCAAAATTTGGAATAGCTTTAGTAATGAGTTTTGCAGTAATTGATACTTATATATTAGTACTTAGAATTTGATCTAGAGTAAGTTCTTCACATTACAATCTGAATTATATATATGTATATATATTTGAATGAAACTATGAATACTTTTTCGAACATTGAAAATTAGCCCACCAAGTATGTAACAAATTTTTAAAGTAATTTTTAGTTTTTTTTTTTTTAGTTAAAAAAACCAGTTTGTCATTTTTCATATATCAAAAGGTCAAAAAAAAAAAAAAAAAAAAAAAAACTTATTTCATAAAACAAGCTAAATAGTGAAAAATTTAAAAATTGTTACAGTATAGTCCCCGTCCAAAAAGAAAATCTTATTTGTCTTACTCCCTAACTTAGTTCATCATATTAAAAATTTTCAAATCTATCTTTTGAAAAAAAAAATTGGGTTACATCAAATTAAAATTAAAAATAAAAATTTCATTCGGTTTCTTTCTTTTTAAAAGAAAAATACATTAGAAATGAAAAATAGTAAAAGAAAAAAAAGTCTCTTCCTAAATGAAAGTTATTAAAAAAAAAAAGTTAAGAAAACTAACAAAATTACTAAACAATATGACTTATTTAACCAATACAAAACTAAAAAAATGCAATATGCTATAACTTTTTCTTTTTTTTAAAAAAAAAAGAGTGTAAAATGAGATTATCCAATCCTTTTAATATATAATATTGTAAATGATTTATTTATTTTTTTTGTTTTTTTAAATTTTAACAAAGACCGTTTTTAGAGTTTTAAGGTCTCAAACTACAAAACTTTTTTAAAAAATCTATTGTTTAGGCCATTCAATCCAAAATATTTGTAACTTAAATTTTTCATAATAGAAATCCTTACCAATAAAATTTAAAAAGAAATGTCTTATACTATTATTTTGTTCTTTATAAAGTTCTTAAATAAAATTTTAAAAACTGTTACAGTATAGTCCCGTCCAAAAAGAAAATCTTATTCGTCTTACTCCCTAAATTAGTTCATCATGTAAAAATTTTTCAAATCTATCTTTTGAAAAAAAAAAAATTGGGTTACACCAAATTAAAATTAAAAATAAAAATTGCATTCAGTTTTTTTCTTTTTAAAAGAAAAATTCATTAGAAATGAAAAATAGTAAAAGAAAAAAAGTCTCTTCCTAAATGAAAGTTATTAAAAAAAAAAAGTTAAGAAAACTAACAAAATTACTAAACAATATGACTTATTTAACCAATACAAAACTAAAAAAATGCAATATGCTATAACTTTTTCTTTTTTTTAAAAAAAAAAGAGTGTAAAATGAGATTATCCAATCCTTTTAATATATAATATTGTAAATGATTTATTTATTTTTTTTGTTTTTTTAAATTTTAACAAAGACCGTTTTTAGAGTTTTAAGGTCTCAAACTACAAAACTTTTTTAAAAAATCTATTGTTTAGGCCATTCAATCCAAAATATTTGTAACTTAAATTTTTCATAATAGAAATCCTTACCAATAAAATTTAAAAAGAAATGTCTTATACTATTATTTTGTTCTTTATAAAGTTCTTAAATTCTATTAATTTTAAAATTTCATTTTATTGTGCTCTTTTAATTAATATTTTAAATTTTTAAAGAGAATGAACACATTTTATAAAATTATTTGTGCTTTTTAATTTTATTTTAGTAAATTGCACATATTATTTATACATTTGAAAGGAAAAATATTGAATGTTTGGGTTGGGGGAGAGAAAACTAATTATTATATTTTCAAAAAAAATTAAAAACCCATATTGATTAACAACTAAAATTTGTTTGGGTGGGGAGTGGAAGTAATTAGTATACAATTCAAAAATTTATGTTTAATTTTTTACTTGTGAGCAGTAAACTAAAAAAAAAAGATTGAATGTAAATAATATGTGTCTTATTAAAAAATAATATATTATTTTATTAATATGTTATTTTATTTTGTGTATAGCATGTGCAAAACATGTGGGAATGGTAGCAAAATGAGCAATAGAAATAGCTTTGGGCAAAAGATTTGGCTCGAGAAATCATTTAATACCATTGTAGGATTTTGAACGCATTCAATTAAAATCAATTGGTCATAGATAAGTGAATGTCTGGACTACACAAGTGACTTAAAAAATAATATATAGGATAAAACTTTAACACAACATATAAGTAGGGGTTATCAAATGTTCTGCAAATAAAAAATCTTATATTACCCAATCAGGTCCATTCGTCTCATAGCTCGTCCCAACCTACTTCAGTACTCATTCCGTCCCAACCTATAACAGATGATTTATGATTTTAGACAATGGCTTGGAATCCAAGCCCGTCCATGAATCCAGTCCGTAAGAGCCCACATGGGTAAGCCCAGCCTGATCATCCTATTAGCCCGACTCAAACTATTTCCTGCAAAATATATATTTTTTGATATGTATCCAAAAAAATCTACACTGTTCAATTCAAATTTAATCCATTAAAATATATTAATAATTATATATATGTGTATTTAATGTACACTTTTGGATTAATGTTTGTAATTTTATTTTGATGTATTAATTTAAACTTGTGGGGTTTTGGGGAGATGTAACACATTATCGAATTTGAGGTAGGAAAGGCCAACCTAGTTGGGTTTTCTAGCCTACTCAAATGCCAACCACAAGACAAAGTGGGCATTTGAGTAAAAATGCCAACCACAAGACAAAGTGGGCATTTGAGTAAAAATGCCAACCACAAGAGGGAAATTCTATTTCCACACACTACTTTCTCTTTTTCCACACACTTAATGATTTTTTTTATTACATTTTTGTCTTAAAATTGAATTAACAAAATATCCCTTTTCCAAAACCCTAACTCTAACTCGCTCGAACCATCAGTTTCCACCATCACCATCCGTGGCTGCCGCCTCTCCCCTCCTCCACTCTTCATGTTGCCTCTTCCCATCGCCTCTTCCCCACTACTACGACCCTTCTTTGCCTGAGAAAAAGATCGCCACACTATTGCGATCTCCCTCTGCCTTCATTGCCCACCACCACGATCTTCCTTTGCCTTCGTCTCTCCCCACTGCCAAGTGAATCGCCGCCGCCCCCACTTTTTGCCCCCTTTGCGACTGTGAGAGAAAGAAAGAGAGAGAGGGATTGATTTCAAGGGGAGAGGGTTGAGGTCGTGATGGTGGCGCCGGTAACAGCCTTACTTCGCAATTAAGAAAGAAAGGAAATCAGAGATCGATTTCTGCGATAAAAGTCATGGTAGTGGCACTGCGCGGGTGAAGGGAGGGGTAGGGGTAACAACTGGAAGTGAAAGGGAGGGGAAGAGGTGTTGCCGTCGGCGACAACAGCGATGGTGGCTTGTTAGGTTTGGTATGGTAGGATGTGTATTATTGTAAGTTGATAATTTAAATTTATTTAGTGTGCGTATTGAGAAAAGATGTGGAAAAGAGAGAAAGCAGTGTGTGGAAATAAAATTTCCTACTAACCTCCTCATCTATTAATATTTTTTTAATAAAATCATGTATTATTTTCAAATAGCCTTGGGCATTTAAGTAAAAATATTGAACATGATTAGATCTCAATTGATAAATATATAAATTAATAAAAACTCAAATCTCCTAAATTACCAAATGTATAAATTAATATATGCAGCAAATAAATACATATACATTCACTTTAAGACTACATAAATATTTATATAAATTTGAATATAAATATGTTTAAGTTTGTAAATATGCATTTATTTATTGTGTACATAATATGTGTCAGTGTATTTTTTGGGTTTACGAGATTATAACATATATTGGGGAAAAAGGACCAATAAAAAATAGATTCATCATATTGAAAAGCATTTTCAATAAAATCTATGTAAACTACTACTTTACTTCTAACAAGAATAAAACTATTAAAAAGCATTCTTGAAATGTACATATTTATGTTAAAACAAGGGAAGCAACCAAACAAAAAGGGAAATTCTGTTAATGTTGCTCAATCAACAACTAAAACTGATTTTTTGTTACAAAAAGGAGAGAGTGAAGGATGGTAAAAACCAAGTTTCATAATTCATATATACATTTTATTTCCATTTCAATAGCTAATTCAATGAATTTTTAGACTTACAATGTGTTTGGATAAAGAAGTTGCCCTTTGGCCAAATAGTAGAGAGTTTAATGAAACTTTAAACTTGGTTAGTTGAGTGTTCAATGAATTGTCAAGGCATCTTAATTGTCTTCTAATTGTCACTTAGTAGTGCTCTTCCTTTACAACATTTCATTTGAATTATTCTTTTTGCTAGGTATGAGTTCAAATGAATTTTGAGACTTGTAGTAAAGAGTTCAAGGAATTTTCAAGTTATAGGGGGTGCATCTTAAATATCTTCTAGTTAACCCTTAGCAGTGCCCAAACCACCACCTCTTTTTCCCTTTGCCCCCTGCCCTCGACTATAAACTGCCACATCCTCCTTTACAAATCCATAAAGCTACAAACCAAACACTTAGTATGCACCCAATTCAACCACACTTCACAAAGCCAATCCTAAAAAGAAAATAACAACAAAATCAATCCTTCATGTTTTTGGAGTATACAATGGACTTGTGTTCCTAATTATTTGGATATGAAGTGCATTGCAATTTAATCCGACCCCAAATTTATAAATCTATAAAGCAACCAAGCAACAAAATTAATATGGAGCTTGCATGAAGAAGGGAAGCAAACATGACATTCTAATAATATTTAAGCCATCATGAGAAAAAGTGAAATACCATGAGAAAGAAAATTACAAATCTCCATCCAAGCATAAAGCAAAGTCCCTCCTTCATCAATTGCTGGAGTCATTTAAACACAACTAAAAATATCAATAGCTTGGGTTATACATTTAACATACTATAAGTGTTTTTTGGAAGTTGAGGCTACAATGATTAAATATATGATAGTTAAACTGAATTCTATTCTCTAAAATTTATTTGGTACATGATATTGTTTTTGACAAAGAAAAAAACATATACGAAACTCTTATGCCCTATTTGGTTTCATTTTAAAAACCCGTTTTATGAATTTTTATTTGAAAAAATATAAACTGTGTGAAAGCAATTAACAGGAAAAATAATATTTTCAAATTTTCAAATATTATTTCAACCCAAAAAACAGAAAGTGATATGAAATTGATGAGTGTTTTATTCTTTTTTTTCCTTTTCTTTTCTCTCCAAACTAGTTTCTAGTTTTTTTTTTAAATTAAAAAAATCTAAAAAGTAAAACCAAATAGAGTGTTTTAGTATTTTCAAAATCTGACTAGAACAATCACAAAAGTTAATAAATAAACAAAAAGAAAAAAGAAAAAAAGAAAAGAAGCATAATCCAAATATTATTGAAGAAACTAATATGATTTCAAAACGTAGCAACAACACTCACAGAAAATACCTAAAATATTGAGAGAACAAAGTTCTACTATCAAAGAATCTACAATTTTTTTTTAAAAAATAATAAGCTATTCAAAGAAAAAAAATATTGAAATTCACAAATTAAGGAGCAAGAGAAAGAGGGAATGAGAGTGAGTGAGTTACTTGAGGGCGATAAAGCTAGTGGCTGATGGTGGAAACAGTGGTGATTGAGAGCAGTAGCAACACTATGCAGGAAAAAAAATTATAGGGTTCACAAATTAGGAGTGCGAGAGGGCATAAAGAGAGAGAGAGAGAGGCAAAATGAGGAAATACCTGGTGGATGAGAGCTTCGGAGGTTGGTTGGGCCGAAGAACTCATGCGTGTGTATAGTAGAGAGGACAGAGGGAGGCCCAGGTGCAATTAGCAAAAGGAATCTCATCTACCACACCAATAATCAGTTCAAAAAATCTTAAATTTAGAACACAAATCAAAACCCATTTACTCATTTCATAGAAATCAAAATCCTACAACATCAAAAAAAAAATAATAATAAAATAAAATAAAACCCTAGAGCTAGAGTGAAATGGGAAAAATGAGAAAGACAAAGACAAAAAGAGAGATGGACAGAGAGAAAGAAAAACTTGAATGTCAATGGGAGGCAACACAATGGTGAGTGGCAATGGCGATGTGATGATGTGCGATGGTAAAAGATGAGCGGCCGTGGTCATGTGCGATGGTGAGATGAGCAACGGTGGTGATTGATTCTCTGAGAGAGAGAGAGACAGAGAGAGAGAGAACCTGGTTGTGAAGGACTAAAGAGATTGATAGAAAGAAAAAAAAGGCAAAACTTTGTGTAGCAATCTTAAAATTTTTCCACTAATTTTTATACACAATTTGCTGACCATTTGCTTTAGTAACTGATTTTGCCACTATTTTTATCGACAAACTATTTTTATCGAAAAATATTAATATATGATGTCTAAAATTATTTAGTAGCTAAAACATGAACTAACGCCAACCAAACTAAATTTTAGTTGCTAAAAGTGTAGTGACAATTGCCGACTAAATGTTTTTAGTCATTGAAAATACATATAAAAATGAAGGTATAGTAGGGAAACCTATAGCACAAAATAAACTTTTTAAGAGACCACTGTCCCTTGTTTACCTTCATTTTGTTGGGTCAAGGGGAGCCATAAATTGATGCATACAAACACACACAAGAGAGAAAAACAGAGTTTATGTGGTTCAGCAATAGCCTACGTTACGGACAGCGAAAATTCTATATATTTTGGAGAGATACAAATTCACTCAATGTTTGCTCACCACTCTCTTCTTCTTCAATTCAATGTTTGCATATCAAATACAATTCATAACCTATCTATTTATAAGCTTTCTCCGAAGGCGAGATGTGTAGGCGGTGACAACAATTTCACCGCGTTTCGGACACGTTCGGAAAGCTTCAAGGTGCCTCCATTATTAACCTTCAGGAGCTTCAATTCATGATGGTTTGCTTTGACTACTTCTGGATCATCCAGGAGCTTTCATTTTGATCCTTCTAGTCTTCTTCAGGGAAGATAATTCTTTTTTTTTCTTTCTTCTTCTTCTTTCTTTACGGTGAAGAAGAGGGAAGAAAAGTTTGTGTCAACTTCCCCACAATTCTCCACCTTGACGAAAATTTTTCTATCCAAACTATATCTTGAGCAATCAACACTACCATGCACTTGAAGGTGCTTACATTTGCTCCAAATGAATTAAACCCAAACTCTGTTTGAACTTAACTCCAATTATGTTCTTCTTCTGCTAGGAGAGATGCACTGTGCTTCTGACCCTAACCCGATCGTGGGGATTCTCCGTTCCAAGAGTCATCTTCTATGTAACCGTAAAATGATCAGACTGATCATACCAATGTTGTGGTGATTGCTTCATTATGTAAAGAGATTTCTTCTTTCCAATGAAATTTTCCTTTCTAGCTACTCGAAACTGTGACAACCCTCACCACTGATTAGTGCTAATCTATGATTAAGCATGTTAAATGACTGATTGACTAAAATCCTGAATTGATTGATTGAATGTATAGCCTAAGTGCATGTCTATCTGTTTGACTGCTAAATTATCTGTTCGTGTTTTATGTTCTAAATTGCAAATTGAATGCCTTATCAGCGGCCGAATCCGAAATTGATTAGTGTTTTATGCTAATTAGAATTAATGTGATTTTATGGTATATTTAATTGAAATGTGATTTGGTATGACTAAATTGGATTAATTAAGTTAAATTACAAAAGTTGGACTTATTTACAAATTTGCCATCTAGTGGATTAGTCTAGGCCAACCCCTCTCCACTTCATACACTTTTGATACAACATTTCCTCAACCATTTTCTGAGCCTAACCGACTAGAGAGAGAGAGAGAGAGAGAGCTAGGAGAAGCTTGATTTCATTTTGTTTTGCTTGGAAATTTAGAGAATTTGAAGGAGTCTTGCATAATTGAGCTTCAACACTTGTAATTCAAGGCCTAAGGTAGGAGAACCATCTTCTTGAGCTTGTATTTGAGTTATATCTTGCATGATTCATAGAAGTTTAGTGAGTTGAGTCTAGAATTGGCTTAAATTGTTGAATTGAGGCTTAAATCATGCATGCATGTGCATATCTTAAAGCTTAGAGTTGTTTTCATGGAAATTATTGCATGCATGTTCATATTTTTTTGTCTTGATCCATGAACTCACCACGTTTTGAAGTCAAACATTGCATTTGATCTTGTTTTGTAGCATTAGTGTTCATAGGAACCCATGCATGTGTTGAATTTGCATTGTTCTTCATGTTTATGAAAATTTCTTTGACTTTGTGTTCAATGGAACTACCTTTGGGCTTTGATTTCTCAAATTGATCTTTGAAACATATTATATTATGAGTTTACAAGTATTTTTCGGAAAATTAGCCCAAAAGGATCGAATTTGATGCATTAAAGTTGAGTTTTGAGCTTGAGCTTTAAATCTGGAAATTCCAAATTTTGGATTCACGCTCGAGCGGGGAACTCCACGCTCGAGCGTACACACCGAGTTCATGCAGTCCGCTCGAGCGGGGAAAGTGACGCTCGAGCGGGAAATGCGTGTATCCAATACTTTGCCTATGTTTACAGTTTGCTCGAGCGAGGGAATGCACGCTCGAGCGAGGACTTGTGTCTCACGCTCGAGCGGGGATCGAGCGTCCGTCGAGCGTGAATTGCATGCATCCAGTACTTTTGCATGATTTTACAGTCTGCTCGAGGGGTCCTTTGTTCTGCATGTCAGCTCGAGCGTAGAAAGCCACGCTCGAGCGTGGACCCCTGTTTTAGCAAATTTTGGAAAGTCTTTTAAAAGTGCATCTTTACATTCTCATTCCATCCTAGGCATTCTTAGGCCTAGTTTAAGGCATCTTAATGAGGATATTGACGTAGAACCACACCGAGTCTAAGTAGGGACTAAGTCTTCGATTCCCAAGTATGTGGCTTAGTGTGTATTTATCTTGTAACTGTGTAGGGTTGGCATCCGAGGACGCGCACTAACTTATCTGTAGCCCAGAACTCTGTGAGTAACAATGTTGTAAAGATATGTTTAATCATGAATATTTTCTGAATGAACAACTGTACTGCTTTCTGAAATGATATTTCTTACTGAATGAATGTTTGTCCTATTTGTGAACTGTATTCGTGCTCAACCATTTTCTGAGCCTAACCGACTAGAGAGAGAGAGAGAGAGAGAGCTAGGAGAAGCTTGATTTCATTTTGTTTTGCTTGGAAATTTAGAGAATTTGAAGGAGTCTTGCATAATTGAGCTTCTACACTTGTAATTCAAGGCCTAAGGTAGGAGAACCATCTTCTTGAGCTTGTATTTGAGTTATATCTTGCATGATTCATAGAAGTTTAGTGAGTTGAGTCTAGAATTGGCTTAAATTGTTGAATTGAGGCTTAAATCATGCATGCATGTGCATATCTTAAAGCTTAGAGTTGTTTTCATGGAAATTATTGCATGCATGTTCATATTTTTTTGTCTTGATCCATGAACTCACCACGTTTTGAAGTCAAACATTGCATTTGATCTTGTTTTGTAGCATTAGTGTTCATAGGAACCCATGCATGTGTTGAATTTGCATTGTTCTTCATGTTTATGAAAATTTCTTTGAATTTGTGTTCAATGGAACTACCTTTGGGCTTTGATTTCTCAAATTGATCTTTGAAACATGTCATATTATGAGTTTACAAGTGTTTTTCAGAAAATTAGCCCAAAAGGATCGAATTTGATGCATTAAAGTTGAGTTTTGAGCTTGAGCTTTAAATCTGGAAATTCCAAATTTTGGACTCACGCTCGAGCGGGGAACTCCACGCTCGAGCATACACACCGAGTTCATGCAGTCTGCTCGAGCGGGGAAAGTGACGCTCGAGCGGGAAATGCGTGTATCCAATACTTTGCCCATGTTTACAGTCTGCTCGAGCGAGGGAATGCACGCTTGAGCGAGGACTTGTGTCTCACGCTCGAGCGGGGATCGAGCGTCCGTCGAGCGTGAATTGCATGCATCCAGTACTTTTGCATGATTTTACAGTCCGCTCGAGCGGTCCTTTGTTCTGCATGTCAGCTTGAGCGTAGAAAGCCACGCTCGAGCGTGGACCCCTGTTTTAGCAAATTTTGGAAAGTCTTTTAAAAGTGCATCTTTGCATTCTCATTCCATCCTAGGCATTCTTAGGCCTAGTTTAAGGCATCTTAATGAGGATATTGACGTAGAACCACACCGAGTCTAAGTAGGGACTAAGTCTTCGATTCCCAAGTATGTGACTTAGTGTGTATTTATCTTGTAACTGTGTAGGGTTGGCATCCGAGGACGCGCACTAACTTATCTGTAGCCCAGAACTCTGTGAGTAACAATGTTGTAAAGATATGTTCAATCATGAATATTTTCTGAATGAACAACTGTACTGCTTTCTGAAATGATATTTCTTACTGAATGAATGTTTGTCCTATTTGTGAACTGTATTCGTGGCATCCATAGCAATTTACTGTTACTGTATTGTACTGCTACTGTTACAGAGATCTCTGTTGGTTCCCATGTTTGGAACCACTACTGTTTACTGATATGATGGCCATCAATTGATTGTTCGGTATGTTAAGACCTACTGTACTGTTTTGCTATTGAATGTACCACATATGACTATTATAGTTTCTGAATGACTATTATGGCATGAATTATGAGCCACAAACTGAATGACTGATATACTGATAAATGACTATTTTCAATATTGAAAGGGCATTCATTCTTAATCTCTTTACGTATATGCTATTCACTGGGTTTTAGCTCACTGCTCATATATATAAGTAGGTGTTCAGGCACCGGACCGTTGCTAGAAGCGTCAGGCTCAATCCTTGTTTTGTCAAGCCAACCTTCGTGCCTCACTTCGAGGTTCCAGATCTGTTCAAGTTAAGGCTGCTTTTGAGGTGTCTCAGATTCACCCTATCTGTCTCTATTATGTATAGGCTGTATAGACTGTTACTGTACCGTTATGGTAGGGATTTGGTCCCTAACCTGAATGCTTGTAAATGATGTATGTATAT